CAGTCCGGGGCTCCTGGGAAGGGGTGAGTCAGGGCCGGGGAGCCGGAGGCCCCCAGCCAGGAGTCGGCCCATCACACCTCTCCCCCAGCCCCCCGCTTGCAGCAAACTTGTTCACCGAAGCACTGACTCATGTGCAGCTTGTGGTCAGCTCTGACACTCAGCTCATTCTCTGCTCATCTTGTGCCCAGCGGGTGGCCTTTAATTAGGTGCTGTCAACTTCCTGTCTGTCCATGTTGTCTTTCCCCCTATTTTTCGCAGAGTATATGAAATCTAAAGATATGACAATGATGAGGATGGAAGGTAGAATTTGCTATAGTCTAAGTGTTTTAAGTGAATTATTATTTAAAAAAAAAATCACCAAGTAACCCTCCTATTTCCTTTCTGTGGACAGGGAAAGTCAGGGTTGAAAAGTCGGATCACTTGCCAGGGCAACAGAGCTGGGGCTGTGTCTGGTGAAGCTGGAATACGACCAGCAATGTGGCTGCAAAGCATAAGGCCAGCGGGGTCCAGCAGGACAGCCCAGGGCTTCCACTCCAGCACCCCACCACACACCTGGAGATTGGAGACCTCGGGCTGCATTTGGCACTGCAGGCTGTTGAAAGGGACCCAGGCTCCTGGCAGGTCCCCCTCCACCACCTACAGTGAGTTAGCAACTCATCCCCGGGCTGGGCCTCACGTCACAGAAGGCTGCCACGGCTCACTCATCACCTCTTCACACAATCACGTCCAAAGAAGAAAGAGAAGAAAAGGGAGCAAAGACATTTCTCCTTGTTTGCTTTTTTCTTGTCAGAAAGGAAAGTCTTTCCAAGAAGCCCTGGCCGATGGCCAGGCTGTCCCCTGATTCTGACACCCCAGCTCCTTAACCTGACTGGCCTGGGCACCAACATTGGTTGGCAGGATCTCCGTAAGCGGCACGTGGATGTAGTTGTGTGTTTTTAGTGTTACAACCAGAGATATGGAAAATATGCTCCATGTGTGAAACAGGAATCGTAGTGCACTCTGCTGTCGCATGTAAATAAAAAATAATAAAGAAGGGAAAAAATAATTTTAGAGTTTAAGAATTTAAATGCATTTGAAAAAATAAAGCTAAATCACCAATCAGCACCGCGTGCTCACGACTTTTGCATCATCTGCAAATAGGATTCAGATAAAGTCTAAGCCCGGCTTCCCCGCGAGGGGCCTTGCCCGACCCACCTCTGTGGGTGGTTTCGCGGTGTCCTTGACCTGCCCCCTCCTGGGAGCCGCGAGTCCTATTTCTGTAAAAACCAGTCGGCAGTCGCAAACCCAGGGGCTTGGGATTCCTTGTCCTGGTCAGGAATTTTCAGGTTGCCCTAAAGCGTCAGGTCTCTACTTCATCAACCAGGCCCCAGCCCTGGACAGCCAGGCCCCAGGCCCTGCTGAAGGTCAGTCAGCAGCGAGGGCAGCGGTGCCCCCGGGCGGGGCGCATGTGCCTGGCATGGGCCAGCCCCGGGCTCCGTCCCGGCCTCACGACTCTGGGCTTGGTGGGCCCCACGGTCCATTGTAGCGACTCAGCCTGTCACTGTCACCAAGAGCCGCCGGGGACAGCCCAGAAACCAGGAGTGTGTCTCCAGAGGGACACTGTGGCCACTGCGACTCCATCTCCATACGGTCGCCAGGAGCCATGATTCCTTCTTCCTTTGATTTTTTAGCCACTGACACCCGGGAAC